ATTTCTTATGTACTATTTAGTTGAGAAAATGCTGAGAAAATGCTTTATAAAAACTATTAATCAACTTAAATTAAAATCGGTAACAGATTCATCTCTAAGATTTAGATGATGAAAGATTAATACAGAAAATTCTCTTTATGAGGTCTATTTTTGGAAAGTCTATCAGATTCAGTTATTTGTGGACTTTAATATAGAAATAAATAGAAAGTTTTTAGTTGCTTATTTATTTCTCTCCACAGTTTAATATTTCTATTTGGGTATCTACTGACGAGTATTCTCTCAGCATAACTCCTCCTTTGATTTTTGTCCTATTAAGCAAAATATTTGTTTTAAATTCATATTAGCTTTGTGAAACTAGTTTGCGCTTTTTATAATCCACTGTAGTTTTATATATATCTTCTGCTAATTTTCAAAAACTCGTCCCTCTGATCCTACGAGTGAAGTTAATTAACGAAATAATAATACAAAAAAAATTTGAAAAATAATTTTGGATGTATTCTTAAGCACTTTCAATAGAATCTAAGTATTTATCTAGTATTTTCTGTTAAAGAAACTACTAGTCCCTTTCTTTTTTCTCTCTGCAATTTTATTTGCTTGGATTTCGCAGTGCTAAAGAACTCACCATAACGATATTGTGCTGTCATTGCTCACTGATCTCAGTTGATTTTTATTTTTCTATGCTTTTGTTTTGCACCTCTCCTAGGCTGGTGCAAACATTAACGTTTAGACTCGGAGACAGCTATTGTTCATTGTCATTCTCTTGAAGTTAGCATTGTTTCCATTGCTTCCAAAATGTGGCTACATGGTATCTTTGCAAAGTCATTTGGTTTTCCAAATGAAGCTAAGTTAATCCGGTAACTCTACTTTTGGTAGAATAAGTAAAAGAGAGACTGCTAAAGAAACGTTATCCTAAACTTTGGAGCCGTCTTGCTTAATCTCCTAAGCGGAGATATGAAAGTTAATTGATAGAATTCACTTCGACTGTATTATTTGAACACCTGTATAGTCTGTTTTTCGAAGTGCGTTTTCGTTAAAGCTTTATTGCAATAATAAAGTACCTCGTTCGTACTCCAGTTAAAACACGAACTGTAAGTTTGTTAAAGTCTAGGAAATCCTTTATTTTTCTTTTATGTAATATAT